TGCAGGTGTGTGCACGGCTTTGTGCACCTCTCCCCGCCCCCGTGCGTGCAGGGGCTCCTGAGCTTCCAGCCTGCATCCTGATGTATGGAAGGCAATCAGTTGGGCTACCCTTTGGGAAACGAGCTGGGACCTGCCCAGGCCCGGAATCATGCTAGGCTTCTTGATTTCCAGCAAAGGCACCTGATCCGGGAAGTCCCCGCTATCTGTTTACCCCCACCACGTCGGTTTGTGTCCGCAACTGGGACTCGAACCGCCAGTACGGACACAGCGCGCCCCAACGGGCTACCGACTGCGTATGCGTAGAACAGAAAAGTCAGCAGGCGTGCACGTTTAGGACTGGAACAGCTGGCGAGCCGAGTGACGCATGCGCAGAGGGGTCCTAGCGGGGCCGCATGCGCAGAATGGTAAGTGTGTGGCGAGAGTGGCACCCGCTGCGCATGCGCAGAGAACCCGCGCGCCGGAAGGCGGCAACCGCGTCTTAGGGCTGCCGCCATTTTGTCGCCTCTCGCGCCATGAGGCTGTCGAGGCTGTGCCGGGTCGCTCTGCTCCTCCTTGCCTTCCTTGTCCTCCTGGGCCCGTCCCAGCCCTACAAGCTTAATGTGCCAAAGGTGCTGCTGCCCGTCAGCTGGGAGCTGCGGGTCCCCTTTATGCTGGAGGCTGAGGGTGGCTGCTACTCCTGGTGAGGGAGAGCTGGACAGGCGCTGGGACTGAGGCGAGGCCTCTGCTTGGGTGGGAGCAAAGATTGTTGTGGGGCGGGGATGGGCAAAGATTTAGATGGGGGAGTTGGTCCTAGGAAGTAGGAGCTGGGCCTAGGGCAACAGATGGGGGTTGCAGGAGACCAGAGAGGCACCAGCTCCTCCCTTGGGAGTACAGTGGCATTGAGCGTCAGTGGGGAAAAGAGGCCTTGGCCCTTGTGAGGCGGGGGCATTGTGGCTGGATACGGTGGAGGCAGGGGATGCTGCTTTGGCCCCTTGATCTGGTTCAGGTTGCTTTGTCCTTGCTTTTCCGAGCCCTGCCCTTATCACTTATCCTCATCCGTTTCCAAACTGGCACAAGTTACAAAAGCCCTTGGCTTTTTGGTAGCCCAGGGAGATCGCTGTCACAAGACACGTTTAAGGTGCTTCTGTGCAGGGCTCAAATACGTGACTGAATAACAAGGACATAAAGGGTTTTGCAAGAGCCAAAACACACCTGATGTTTCAGAGCAGATGCAAACCTGCAACTTCCAGGCCTTCAGCTAATCTCAGTTCGTTTTCCCAGGAGGTTTTTGTTCTGCAAGAGCCTGTTTCTTGTATCATCCTCTGTGGCATCTGGTACTAACAGTTGGTGATGGACAGGGCCGTCCCTGGGGCGGGGAGTGAATCAGGGCGACCGCCCCGGGCCCCATGCTTTGCATCCAGCTGCCACTGGCTTCGCATCCAGCCATGGGCAACTGGTGCCTCTTGAGTGGGGTGGCAAATGCCCCCCCAGTGACCAGTCAGCGGCTGGGGGAGGGGTATCCTCTGGTGGCCGATTGTGCTCGCCGGGGGGCATCCCTCATGGCTGATTGCACTGTCCACGCTGACAGGGAGGTCCTCCTTGCAGAAGATCTCACTCACTAAAAAGTGACTGCAGTGCTTCCCAAAGTGGCCGTGGTCCCGCTCCCTGGCCAGCGGTTGTGCACCCACTGTGAGCGCAGCTGCTTTACCTAATGGCCCTGTTCCCCAGATGGTGCTCGCAGGGGGGCATTGGCGCTCCTGCCTGCCCTCCCAGTTCATCACCTAAGTGGTGAGTGCGACCATTAGGATGTACACTAGTGCTCTCAGGGAGTGCACATGCACCCCCTATGCATTGCCATTGCATCCAGCCGCTCACTACCTCCCTCCCCACCGCCAACACCACCACTGCCAATGGCAGCAGCAGCTTCTTCGGGTCCAGGGCACATGGGATCAGTGTGGAGGCGAGGCCCCGCATGGGCTGATTTGCCCCAGGACCTGCACCCTGCTTGGGTCAGCTCTGGTGATGGGCCGCTAAGCTATTTGGATACCTAGTCTGATCCAGTCTAGCATTTAAACGTCTTGAGGTATATTCCCTTGGTAATATGTTCTCTCGTGCATGCCAGAGGTGCTACCCCACTAGAACACATCTTTCTTCTCATTTGTAGTAAAACAGTGAATCAATCCATAATATACCATGTATTTATTTTACCCCAGATAATGCAAATTATATTGCGAAGTGGAGTAGGGAGAAACATCCAAATGTCTCTGTTTTTTCAGGTATTCAACCCGTCAGGATACAGTCACTGTTGAGCCAGTTTACAAGAATGGTACCACTTGTTCGCAAAGAGCTTTGCTGTTTGCTCAGTCTACCCAAGCCAAGAAATTAAGCAGTGTTGTTATAGCTGAAGATCGTGGTACGTAGACAAAGAGTAATGTGACAGGAAGGGGTCACGGGTTCAAAATGAAATTCCGAAGCTGTAGAGAAGAATAAATCAAGGGAAAACCCCTTAATAAGCTAGTCTGTTCACCTCAGACCAGTATTTGCAATAGTATGCTTTGGGGCATCTTATTTCATCTAAGTTTTACAGTCCAAGATGTGGAATTATGGTATATTGTGTTTTTTAATTTAAAAATACTGTTCATTTAACAGTCACAGATGACATGAGACCTATGCAAAAGTACTGTGATGCACATTAGGCACCTCAAGTTTGCATCTGACTTCAAAAAGGTAGCAACAAAAGTGTATAATGTTGAAGCATCCATTCTTCAGAGTCCCAGACTGGGTGTATTGGAGATTGGGAGGGTTCTCTGCTTTCTTAGTAAGGCCTGTTCCCCTCCCATTGCCTTGAGATCCATGGCTTTCTTCTTTTTTTTTTATCACTAGTGCTAGCATCTCCAAATTTGGAAAACCAAAATAGACTTACGGGCTATGAATTAAAGGGCACTTTCTTATTTTAGTGACAGGCCATTTACTACGTTGTGATGTCATTGTTGATGTGATAGACAGTATTGAAATTATCTCACGAACTCGAGAAATCTATGTGGAAGATGCTCCGTTGGAGTTAACTGTGAGGGCTCTGGATGTAGAAGGTACTGTGTGCAGGACAAACTGCTGGAGTAACTGCCAGGATTTAACTCAACCTTCTTAGAAATAAATGCATCTTATTCTTCCTGTATTCTTACTGATCTTATATAGGTAGCATCTATTTATTAATTTGCTGTTGATATTTGTTGTCAAGATCTTGAAGAATTCAGACCGTGTTTAAACAATTGATCTCTTTCTCTTATCCAGACTTGTAGTATTGACCTAACATGGTGGTTAGAGAAAGGAGATTCAGTTTCATCTCATTGTGCCTTTTTTACGTTCGCTTATGTAAAATATATTTGTTCCTCTGCTCCATATAGGAAAATGTGGCCATATCATGAATTCCTATAACGTGTCTCATTTTCAGCTACAGAAAGTATTTGGTTGATTCTATTCTGTTCATAAAATGTTGTAACATAGGAATTATATAAGAATTTTTATTTCTCTTTCAATCAGGGTATGCTAAGCAAAAGAGTGATGAGTGGGTGAGTGTAAAAACTGGTGTTGCAAGCTGCTCAGGTGCCATGGTAATGAAGCTGGCGTAAGGTGTTAAATAACATTATGCAGAATTCTTGCTTCCTAAGCTTTAATTCTGGCCACAAAGCGATGTATTAACGATTGGTTAAAGGTCTTGTATGGTCATCCCAACTAAATGAAAATAAAACTAGCACTGTTCTGGTTTTCATCCCGGTTTGTCTTCTATGTGTACATGGATTTTCATTTATGACTAAGGAGAGATTGGGTGTGATCAGAAACTTCTCTGGTATATATAGCTTTTGTGGTGTGGGTTCGTGTACAAGATTAAGAAGGGAGAGAGAGAGCTTATTAAAAACACCGCAAGCCTGTTGAGCTTGTGGCCTCCTGCTTCATGGCTCTATAATGGTAGGCATAGTGAGCAGCAGACAATAAGGACACTTGGTCATGGCATATCAATGCTGCAGCTTTTTACCTTTTCTCCTAGCCATGTGCAAAGGAGAGATGAATGCCTCTACACATAAGAACATAATATACGTTCACCAGTGCATACTTCTGAACTTGTCATGTCCATACTCATTTTAGTTTCTATCTTCAGGAAACACATTTAGTAGCTTGTCAGGAATGACATTTGAGTGGAACATTGCCAAGGATGATGACATGGACAGCCTAGAACTCTCTAGCAAAATTAGGTAACTCTATTTTGAATCATTAATAAAACAACCCCCCCACTTCCTTTGACATTTCTATAGTACCTTCTATAGTAGTATAGTAATACTACTTCCTATCTCCCCTACTCCCTTTGACATTTCTATAGTACCTTTCATTCCAACATCTCCCAGGGAGTAGGGGAGATAGGAAGTAGTATTATCCCCATTTGCTTATAATTACATAGAGAGGGGGAAAAATATTTTTCCCCAGGTACTAGTGAATCCATGGTAGACATGGGGATATAACCCAATTTAGCTTTCCAGTCTTATGCGCTGACTGGTAGGTTACGCAGCACTGGTTTTGCTAGTAAAGTTAGTTGCAGAAGCAGTTCTCAGAAAGAATGCCTTTCCCCTGACTATAGTAGTAAGTAATAGTTTGTACAAAGGGAGGGATCTGTGGTACATTAGTTTGAGTTTGCTGAAGTGTAGACTCTCCTTTACTTTGTTTTATCACCAGATGTACCATAGAGAGGGCCCTTACATCTCAAAGTCAGCACTTAATGGTTGTGTGGGCAGATCAACACAGAAATTACATACCTTTTTTCCTCACATTTCTCTTCACACCATGTCATCCCATAATGTTTGTCCTTCAGTTACACTATCATTTTTATATGGATTAAAAATAGAACTTGAAACAATCACAGATAACTTTTTCTGTCTGATTTTGTTTTTTCAGGATTCTAAAGTATTCAGAGGCAGAGTATTCTCCCCCAGACTATATTGTTGAGCTAGAAGGAGCAGAAAAACAAGGAGACAGGATTCTGGTTTCAGGAATCAAAACGGGTGCAGCAGTTGTAAAAGTCCGAATACAGGAACCAGTTTACAAGGTGAAGCCTTACTATGGATTTCCACCTTTAAAACAGAACTTGTAACTTAGGTTGCTGTTCTAGGCATTTCCTTGTTAAAATTGTTGTTTTCTTTAGCACCACCAACACTGTCATATATCTTTCAGAAGCTACCAGTAATGATACAATTCAGATTAATTTCCAGTCAGAAATTTGGAATTAAAAACTAAATTTGACCAGCTTTGATAGTACAGTATTAAAAAGGAGGGAAAAAATCCTTAAAATTGCTTTAAAGGATCTAGTTTTCTACCAGTAATAAGTTATTTACAGATGCAGTTCTCATTAGGGTTAATGGAAGTCAGTTTATAAATCCCAAAAATCTATTATAGCCACCCCTGTAGAGTTGGAGAGGATGCTGTCAACTTCAGTCATATTTCTTCCTGATTTTTGGTTTTGCTTGCTTTTAGCACCGGCAACATCTAAGACAACTATAAATAAAAGATTAAAGAAAAATATTTTTTTTCAGTTGGCTACACTGTTTGCTAACATTTGGTGCATGGTCAGTTTCACTTTTATTTCCCCTAAGTGATGAAAAATGTACATTTTTTTTTTCATTTCACATACCACTACCACCAGAAAGGAGAACATTTAAAAATAAGAACGTGTGGTAGTAGAATCTCCCAAAACTGGTAAGGAGACACAGGGCAGATATAATTTATTTAGCAAAAGATAAAAATATTGATATACACTGTGGTTCAAGCTGACTGCCCCTTTAAAAGAAAACTGCCATTCTACTGTGCCCACATGTCAAAAGATTCAGGAGGTAAGAGACCTTCTCCTGCTAGTGACTAAAATATAGTGTTAAAGTAATATTAATTATAGTTGGCATTTTGGAGCCTCCTGCTGGTAAGTGATCCTCTTGCTGAAAAAATGACTTTGTTGCCAGGTACTAATAGTAAGTTGCTTTTTTATTCTCCTTCATTAGAAAATATCTGCTGCTCTGGTACGTCTGCTGGTTCTGGAGAATATATTCCTTGTACCTTCCCATGATATTTATCTTCTGGTTGGAACTTACATCAAGTACAAAGTTGGTAAAATTGTACAGGGAAAGATTACAGGTAAATTTGTTCTTTTAATGCCTCTGAGTTTACCAAAATCTTTACTAATCTTTCATAAGTGAAATTGAAGCAGATAATTCACACAGGCAGTAATTTCTCTTCCCGTAGACCTGTTCCTGACTACAGGAGGAGCCATGGTTAAACCTAAACCTGTAATCAAACTGTGTAAAAACTTTCCCTGTATGGCTAATGTTCCTTGTAATGGGGGTCTTTTTATAAAGACTAGCTCAGATGTCATTCTTAGTAGAGAATACTCTATAGAGTCTAGTGACTGTATTGTGTGTGGGGTAGTAGAAAAGTCAAACTCTGGATACTGGTTATGCTTGGGACTAACCAGCAGATGATATGGCTAAGATTGTCAAAACTTGCACACAGACACCTCAGAGATATTAGGACTAACATACCTGTACTTTAGTAACATTTCATCTAGGATCCTAACCTTGCAGCTATTCTTTGACTGTTGTCATGAGCTTGTATTCATGCCCTTCTAAAGGAAAAATCAAATATGCACTAATGTGAAATACGCATTGTTTTGTACAGTAACTTATTCTTTGCAGAAGTGGATTTACCTTTTGAACATTATGAACTTGAACTGCGTGATCAAATCATTGCAGCTGGTGGGTCTGACCATCTTCCAGTGGCTCAGCTGGATGTGAACACAGCCACTGTAACAGCAGTGCAGCTGGGACAGGTTAATCTTGTGTTTGTTTATAAAAGTATCCTTTAAAATAAAGCAAAAAACATAGCAGTCTGCTTTATTTGTGTGGCCATTCTCTTTCCTGAGCAAGACTGAGCTGAATTCTAGTAAAGACATACTTTAGATGGGTCAGATAAGCAAAGCAGATTAGTTGAGGCCCTGTCCTGCAATATCTCAGAATTCTATGATATCTTGGGGCGTTACCTGCACTCCAAGAAACAATTTGTCCTTCAGTACCTAACCATTACTACTTCTAACTGAGTATGATGCATGCTGACTTTTCCACTTTAAAGTCAATGCTATTCATTCTTGGTAGCCAGTCAGCAAGCACTGTCACTCATCTTGACATACTCAGCTCCTTTACCTCCGACTCTTCTGTAGTGAGAATGAGTTGTCCGTCCAGGTTCGTGATCCAAATCTCAACGAGGTCAATTTAAAGACACCATTTGATATTGGTGGAAATTGGATAAGGCCCCAAGTTCCCACATTTGTTTTGAGTTTAAATAGCCTAAGGTTATGTGTCTATTTAAAAACTAAATTTGTTCCTTATACAAAAACTAAGATATCCACATGCGAGCTGCATCTGTACTTCCAAACTGCACTATCTATGTTGTAGAGGCTGCATTTTTAGGTAATTATTCAGAAGATGAGAGTTTGATTTTAAACTCTTATTGCTTTGTGTTATTGATCAATAAAATGTTTGCTTTTTTTTTTTTTTTTAAAGAGACTAACTCATAGGACTGTATAACTTACATGGGACTGCTTCTTACCTCCCGTATGCGAAAACCTGTTCTCAGAATCTGGTGTAAATGTATAGGTCAGTTTGTTTGTTTAATATTAGAATTTCTTCATATCAGTTGTAGGAAGGTTGCAAGTTAAAGAAAATAGCCCTGTGCTATTTCAAACTTGTTAGTTTTTATTTAACACATTTATTTTTGTTTTGCTTCCCCCCCACCTTAACTCTTGCATGTTTGTTGTTGTTGTGTGCCTTATTCATGGTTATTTTCAAACATTTTTGTTTTGGAGGTTGAAGGGTATATGTTATGGCCAAACCCATTCTATATAGCTAGTAACATTACTTAGTTGAAGTATTTTGTATTTTTGGTTGGATACAGTAGGCCACTTCTTGCCCTGCTAGCTTAGCTGTACTCAAATGCTTACCTTGCTTTGCCCAAGACTGAGTTTAACTGATAGACAAAGTGATGTATGTCTAAATACACACAGTTTATGTGAGTACTTTTAAACCACGTGTATGAGAGGCATGATGAAAAAGGAAGATCGTTCTTGCCACTGGTTAGCCTCACACTGAAAAGAAATAAGTTCTGTTAGTAGAATGAATCCCAGGTCTTACTGAGTCAGATTATTTGAATTCTCCTCTTCCAAGAGGGGCTTGAAAATTAACGCTTGCATAGTCACAATGCAAAAATCTAGTTAGTGATCTCTAAACTTTAGAAGAGTTAATTGGACTAAAGAATAACAGTGCACAGGAGGCACCAGAAACAGAAAGAACAAGTCATAGTTGCCTCATAGATCATTTTGCTGTTATGGTACATTAGCAAAAGTGGCTGGATGTTTACTGCACTGTATTTTTTTAAGTGTTTCAGGAGTTCAAGAAGTGTGGATAAGCATCACTGGATAGTTTAGGAGATGGGAAATGGATCTTTTCCTTTTAGCTCATGAGTTCTAATAGAGAAGAATTTCATAGTGGCCATAAATTATCACCATCTAATGACTGTTCGTACCTATCTGTACCCTTATTGCCTTTGATAGAATTTATTACAGACTTCTTTCTAGCTCCTATAAATAAAAGTGAGAAGCAATGCAGAAAAATTAATACTATTGTTGCCTATACTTAATTTATTTTGGAGTTAAAAAAGATTCTTTAGACCTCAAAGCTGTTAATCCAGCACCTTTTACCAACATTCAGTTTACAAAATAAAACCCTTTTTTTTAAAGATTCCTTTTAATAAGCCACCTTTTTATGCTTTATTGCAGGTTTCACTATCCAACCAGGAGACAGATGGGTTCTAGAAGTCAGGGGAGTGTATACAATCACTGTTGAAGTATATGATAAAGCCAGCACCAAAGTTTATTTATCTGATGTAAGCATGTGTAAAGTTAAAAACTTGGGCAACTGCCAAAGGGAAGCATCTGTTGTGCCGTATCTCTTACACACCCTCAACAGCAATAATAAAAGAATTCATGTCCTTTCCAAGTTTACTGAAAACAGTTTATTCTTCAGAAGTTTATGACTGATAAATAATCTGGTCTCTAGAATTTAGCTTAGTGTACTTTTAGTTGGGAAAAGCATAAGTCTTATTTTAAAATTTAGATTACAACCTTCATTTAGATGCTGTAGTTTTCCAGTAAATTAATTCACCAATATGTATTTCTTTATATTTAAAATAGATTCAAAACTAAGGTAGTGGCTCTTATGAGAAAAGAAACAATAAATTATTAGTTACAGTCCAAGCCTGGGACTCAGATCATCATGTGACCTTGTGGAAGTCATTTAAAGTTCTCTGAACCTTAGTTTTAGTATTATTAACATGGTGGTGACAACATTTCCCTAACTTAGTGAGATTTATTGCAATAGGTATCCTTGCAGGCCATTTCTCTTAGAAAAAATTGACTTCAGTGCAATACAGGAACCAAAATAAAATGACTGGTGCCTTCACTTGCCCGGCCATGTCCAAAATCAATTTCAAGCCATAGCTGTTCTGATAACCATGTTGGCTTCTGAACTGAGAAGGCATAACAGGTGCCTGGGTGCTTGTGGGCATGCCAAGTTCACTTATAGTATGTCTCGAAATCCTTCTGATAGGAAGTGGATTATGTTTTCTTAGGAAATGGATAGATCCTTCTCTGGGTTTTTTTATTGTTGATTTACAGAACATAAGAATAACTCATCACTTTCCCATGGAATATCTTGAAGAGATAATGTCTTCTGCTAATGGTTCTTACCATACAGTTCAGGTCCTGAAAGGTGGCATCACAGTAATAAACGCTGCATTGACTTCTGTTCTTCTACAGGTAAGAGATAAGGGTTGTAACATTCCCTTACCAGCAGCAGTCACTGAGGCCCCATGAGAGTACTGTTCACAAAACAATAAGTTGAACTGCTGCGTGTTTCAAATTATCGAAGTTTTGCTTGTGTACTATTTACTTTGGGTTGTAGCAGCGTGCCCTCCATACATTTTTTTGTGGATGAACATCTACATCTCCAGACAAGGTTCTTTCAATGAATCTGATGTCTTTTATTAGACCAACTTAAATAGTTGGGAGAGAAAATTTTAAGCAAGCTTTCGGGTTTAAAAACCCTTCATCAGGCTGAGGAAGTTTCTGCAGTTGGTGTGTGCTCTTCCTGGGTGGAATGAAAAGTAAAGAAGCCAGAGGCCCGAGGCTTCTTTACTTTTCATTCCATCCAGGAAGAGCACACACCAACTGCAGAAACTTCCTCAGCCTGATGAAGGGTTTTTAAACCCAAAAGCTTGCTTTAAATTTTCTCTCCCAACTATTTAAGTTGGTCTAATAAAAGATGTCAGATTCACCCAAAGAACCTTGTCTGCCTATGTCCTTAGACCAACATGGCTTCAACCTACACCCCTTCTACATCTCCAGGGATAATGGGCACTCCCTGAAAGAAGAGTTTTTGATTCCCTCAGAGAGATGAGAATCTAAGGACTGGGGGAAGATAGCATGACAAATTGAACCAGGCAGTTTAGAGGATTAACAAATTTCACCAAGCTGCTCATATGAGTGTATGTGCTTATGCCATGACATCACCTATGCTATTCTGAGTTCTGTAGAAGGAAGAAGCAGGAATAAGAGTGAAATAAATAAAAATATTTAGATTGCTTGTCAGAAAAAACTTTAGACTGGGGACATCTGTTACACTACTTGGTAGTCTTGAAAGGCAAGTTGTGGAAGGTATGTTGTTCAGGATTTTTCAGAGACCTTTCTGGATTAATCTTTGGAACCACTTGGTTGTTTCTGTCCAGTTCTATTGCTGTTCCCCTTCAAATGGCTTTGAATGGTGAGAGGGACTGATGTAATACTATCTTAGATTCTTGTACCCTTCTAAACTTAACACCTTAGCATAATTGAAATGCAAGTGCAAGAACTGCTAGTGTTAGTTCATGATGCTTTATTTTGGTTCTGGCAGCAAGTGTGTCTGTGCAGAGCAGACGCATTAAAGTCTGCTGTTAGTGGTTATTTTCCTTTTATGACCATAGTGGTGTCTTCCATTTATAAATTTAAGTTTTGTTCTGCATTCTTTTGCTTGGTGAGTTTCTTAGTGGAATTCATCTTTCTCGTCTAATTTTATGCTTAAGGCAAGACCCTGTGGGAACAGCCAGAGATGATAATACTGTTGTTGGGGAATTTTGTTTAAGCTTATCCAAAAAAACTCTTCAGTTGACTTCAGACAGAACAGTGTTCCTCCTTTCAAACTTGTTTTTCAGGTAACTGCTAGGAAGTACAACCTGAAAGGAGGTGCTTTATTTACAGTCTGCCCCATGCTGTTACCCTGTAGTGCTAGCAGTTCAAGATCATTGACTGTCCCTTTTGTGACTGGGCCACTTGGCTAAAGATTGCATTTCCTTGTTTTCTGCGTGCAGGATGGCTCTGAGGCATACTTGCCTGCCCCAATCAGTCATGAACAGGAGGCAAGGATTTACCTTCGGATCAAGCTGACACCCTCCTTCCTTGCTTTTCCACACCACCAGATGGAAGTTTTGTATCAACATAGAGTTCAGGTGAAGTATACTGTGACATGGAAATTCATGAGGGCCTCCTTGCTATGAGCAGGCAAGGTTCTTTGGGTAGATGTGATATTTTTTATTAGACCAACTAAATAATTGGAAACAGTTCTTTGCAAGCTTTCAGGTACAAAGACCCTTCCTCAGGCACTGGGAGACTGCTGCTGTCTGTGGTCGCCGAAGTAGAAAAGATATGATATGAGAGCCCCTTCCAGAAAAAAGGCTAATTAATAATATTTAGCTAATAGAGACCCTGTGAGTATTGTCAGTATGGAAGCAGGGGAAACATCAGTCTGTTTTTCTTTGCTAGTCTAGTCTTGGGTCAGATTCTGTGTCCATTTAAATAAAGGGCAAAACCTCATTGAACACAATGAAACCAGGAGAAGGTACATGGTTGGCTGATCACTTTTTTTAGGTCCCATCCCTGGTAGGATGAGTTTGCTCTTTAATTCCCTAAGTGTCACTCTTAACACTATACTGAGCGGTACCTCCCAATTCCTCTAGCTTTTCTATGGGTCTTTTTCTTCTGTCATGTCTTCCTGTGTCCTTCATTGATCATACTCATCTATTTCAGCAGCACTTTTCTGTAATCTGGCAACACAGTCTAAACGTCCCTTTTATTTTTAAAAACTACTGTATACATTGAAGAAGAGGTGAGATGTTGCCCCATCCCTACTTTACTGCTGCCTTTGCCACTCACTGACTTAACTGATAAATGACCTTTTTATGCCTCACTTTTATCAAGCTGTAAAATGAGTTAAATAATGTTCCTGACTTGGTAGTGGTGGTGGGGAATCATGAGACTTAGTAAATGTTTGTAAAGTGGTTTTAGTTTCTCAGATGAAAGGAGCTGTGGAATGCTGTTATTATGGTATTACTTCACTTAATATTTTTCACTGAGGGATTGTTATTCCAAACCACATCTGTGCAAGCTCACATTTTGCTAAAGTAACACCAACGCTTTCAATCATCCTCCTGTTTCTAGGGCTCTGGTTGGTTGTAATTTGCACTGCTTACTTTTTCTGTCTTATGTTCATCCATAGGTGGAGGGAGGCAGCGGCAATTTCACATGGACCTCTTCCAATCAGAGTGTAGTCACAGTCACCATAAAAGGAGTAGTGACAGCAGGGCTGGTTGGGGGGCAGAGCACAGTGCAGGCCAGAGATGTGCAGAATCCCTTCCATTATGGAGAAATTCAGGTAAGTACTTCCCTGATGGATTGTTTTTCAGTGGCAAGAGTGTTTCTTATCCAGATTTGGAAACCTAAGACTCCTCTTGAGTGATGCTGGTGATAGGCTACTGCCTAAAAATGCTGGGCTTGATTCTCTTCTCACTTGGGGGCAGGACATGCAAACAAGTGACTGTGTAGTAAACGTGCATCAGCTGCTGCAGAGCAGTTGCCTGTGTGCCTGCTCTTACCGGGGTAAATGAAAGGTAGCACACTGCAGCATTCCCTTGCAGTGAAAGAGCAAATAGCATAGGTTAGCTTTCATTTGCCACAGGGTGAGTCTTTATAGTACACCCAGTGCTCTGCTATAATTATTGGAGAGCAGTGAGTGTGCTATAAAATCTCACCGTTAGTAATCCTGTGGGCACTTGTTCATGTGCTGTTGTCCTTCAAGTGCAGTTCTCTGTGTCAGAGATGTTACTTCTGACTAGCTCAAGCTATTTGTTAAGCACAGACGTCCAGTGAACATTTCTATGCTGAGCTATATGTTAGTGTACCTGGGGCTGTATATTAACTATAAAAAAAGATCCAGCTAAAACTTTTAGATTTGCAAAGTAAACTTTTGCTCATGTGAGTAGACTGCAAGTAGGAATCTATCTGCCAAGTCAGGTGTGGACTCCATTTTCATATGCTTTGACTGCTTAAGTTTTTTTCCTGAAGCTGAAATGCTTGATTATAACCCAGTTTTAATCCAGGGTGAACTAGCCCTTGGTACTTTGCTATTAGGGACCCTTTACTGAACTTTGCCAATCCAGGTGTATGTGCTGAGGCCAACGAAGATGGAGTTTTTGCCATTTCATGCAGACATTGAAATTGGACAAGTTTTAGAAGCTCCACTCATGATGTACTACATAGACAGAGAGACGAGGGAGACCATTGCTTTCACTGACTGTTCCCTGTTAGAGCTGGATGTAAGCATGGATAAGCAAGGCATCTTCACTCCTGCTGAAGAAGGTAAAGTAGCTCCAAGTCTAGCTGCTTTTTAAAAAGCAGTTTGCAAAATACACTTAATATATTTTCCAAAGTACTGCCCTTCCCTTTCCCTCTGCCTCCCTATTCACTGGTATTGCATCAGTCACTACAAAGGCCAACCAGAGGGATAACTGCTATGTCAGTTTCTGGTGCAACACTATATGATTTGATTCTTTCAACAGCTGAAGGGGATGGGACAATTAGATGGAAGGTAGGTCTGGTACACACTTAAAAATGGAGAAGTGAGAGATTCCATTTCAGCTCTGTTTGTCAGTGACATAAAGCGTGCTGCAAAAGTTCTCGTGTCTTATAGGTGTTCAGAAACCTGGCCAGAGATTTTGCTCCAGCATCCAGTTAGCTGCAAAGGCCTTGGGACATACTTTAGTGACAGTGAGTGCTACCATGTACCAGGAATATTTTGAAACCAGTGCTACGTTTGCTGCTTATGAGCCTCTCAAGGTGAGAAAGTGCTCCACTTTCATCCCCTTCTACCTGAAGCACTACTGTAATTCTGTTTTTGTGTTCCTTGTATCTTGGCTTCTATAGTGAGCCTGGTGATGGTAGTGAGGCAGCAACCATAGTCCATGCTTTCCTGCAGTTGTGGGCTGCCTGCTCATATCCATGTTGCTGTGGAACTGCAGTCAGAGGGTGTTGTCCTGGGCTTGTAGTGAAGGGGTCTGGGATTTGGGACTCCTAGGTTCTAGTCTCAGCTATGTTGCTGACTAGCTAGGTTACATTATGGTAGTCACTTTACACCATTTTACTGGGGAGCTGTGCAGTGTTGTTAATTAATATTTGTCAAGTTTTAAACAGGAAGTTTAAGATGTATTGTCCTGCTGAAATGTATTTTTTTGTTCATCTGGGACAAGGAGTTTCCTACCAAACCTGTATTTCTTTGGCTTTATACCTGCCCACAAATTGCCCACTCATTTTCAAGACTTAGAAGTTTAGACAATGGCTCTTTCATTGATTGGATGTTTGAAAAGCCGGATGCATTTCCTGCCCCTAGGGGAGGAGCATCCTGACCCTATGGAATTGCCAGGTCCTATCAGTAAAAACAAAGTCCACGCAAAGCAGTGTCACTACTTCTCCATGCTGAGACTGCTTAGTTCTTCAGAAATTAATGTCTGAATATGTTCAGTCGGCCTTCATCTGGAAGTAACTCTACATATGCCTGTTCCTAGGATTGTGGCCTTAAACATTGTAAAAACTGTAGGAGTCAGTGGGTTTATTACACAGTGCTAAATCCTGCATCATCTCCCCTAGAAACCAGCTGGGTCCTAAGAAGGAACTGTAGCGTAGAAATTGTCACCAGTAAGAATATTGTTTTATTGGTATCAAATTTCCAACTAAAGTAATTTTAACTGTAGCAATTAATTGTATTCTGAATTGACTTGTATTTGCTGGGAAAAACCAGAACTTACAAAGGAGTAGGTGGTTTCTTTCAGTAGTACTTTTACTTTTCCTACCTAAGCTTTACCTCTGGATCAGTGTTTTAATTGGTACAGATTCCTGGTCTGTTTAATATGACTCTTCTCACAGGTATCTCAGTATTGTCCAATCCAGGTTCAATAACCAAAGGCCAATTCCTGTAATAATGTGTAGTTTCTAACAAGCAGGGCCTGAATTCTTATTCATATCAATGCCCCTTTACATCACTCTAGCCATGTAAAGGGATATTAATGTAATCTACACTCACTTAAAGGTCCCTTAAACTCTAGAACAGGGGTCAGCAATGTTTTTGGGCAATGCCAAAAACACCTGCAACCTCGACCTGTAAAAAGTTGGCGTGCCGGGGCAAATGCCGGGGGAGCCACGAGGTACCCAATCCTTGTTGTGGCAGTGCAGCCCTGGCCCCTTTCCCGCCATCCACCCCAAGGCATGTGTGCCAAGCAAAATGTCTTCGAGTGCCACTGTTTGGCACCCGTGCCGGGGGTTGCCTACCCCTGCTCTAGAATCTTCTAACAGGGCATTTATTGAAATGAGAATCAGGCACAGTGTCTACAATTTATAGACTTCATTTTTTATAGTCTCACTGAGAAACTATATCAAAATAGCAGTTTCTATTAACAGTTTCTTCACTTAATCAGGCAGTAAACCCTGTGGAAGTGGCACTGGTGACGTGGCAGTCACTAAAGGAGGTGGTATTTGAGGGAGGGCCAGGTCCATGGATTTTGGAACCATCTCGTTTCTTCTTGGAACTGACTATGGAGCATGAGGAAAAAATCAAAGTTACTCAGGTCCGTCTGCCAACCAAAAGGAAACAAAACCAATACATTTACCGAATTGTGTGTCTGGAGTTGGGGGAACAGGTAGGAGAAACACATTTCCTGCAATTTAATGACTAACTGGAAGCAAGTTGGAGAATATAGCAGGCACAGGCTTACAGTTTAAAGCAGTAACTGTGAGAAAACACATTCCATTTCCTTTGACAGGAAAATACTTGGCTCGTGTTAGCACAGGCTAAGCAAGGGTCAGATGGATTCCCTTGTACCTAACTGTTAGTTTGGGAACACCGGCAGTAACTTCTGTTTATTTGTCATTCCAGGGGGAATATAGATAATGGTGAATTATCCAGTAGTGACCAGTTATCAGGAGTTAATAATTGTGTCTGGAAGGGGGCTGCTGGTAGGGAATCAGAACAACTGTGAATTAAACCATTGGGGTGAATTATTCTATAAAGAAAAGTACTGTACTGCCCACTTCACTAAGGCATAGGGGGATGGCAGTCTGCCTGCAGAAAACTTTCCATAAAAATCAATTTTTCTTTCTCAGAATATGCTTTATAACAGACTAGACCATCCTCTCAGCCCCTAATGTAGGTGTGGACTTGCCTTAGTTTTCTTTAAAAAGTCCTATATTGGAACACTATTCGATATGAAATATTGGGTGCAGCTGAAAATGAAAACTGTCTGGCTAACTATCCTTCTGGCATGTCTTTGAAGGTGCTGACCTTCCGAGTAGGTAATCAGCCAGGTGTCCTGAACCCCAGTCCTGCAGTGGAGATGGTGCAGGTGATATTCATTTGTGCTCATCCAGCCAGTATGTCTGTGACTCCAGTTTACAACGTATCTGCAGGTGCCCAGCCGTGCCCATTACTTCAACATAACAAGCAGCTGGTAAGGATTTACCTGTCTGACATAAAACTAAGAGTACAACTCTCCTATGGTGCTGGATGAATGAGTAGGAACTCGAGATGTGTTATGGTACTTTTATCACAAAATGTAAGCTTTTGTAGCATTAACCACTAGTCAAATAACCCTTTACCAGAAAGACATGATCTGGCAATGGATTGATCTCAGTCGTATTAAGTGATTTTTACATTAGCAAGTTTACAGCCCCTCTGCCCCAAAAAACTGGCTAAGCTAGTTGTGTTTCACAGTCTCTAGAGAGGAGTCATAATGAGCTAGACTGTCTTGTCTGTTTGGACTGCATCTTTGCAGTCAAGATGACGGTTGTTATGGTCTGCATAAGAAAAGTTCAAAGGCCCAATTAGCTGCCCATGTTTTAAAGGGAGCTGGTGTTTCTGTGGGATCAGATTCTGCATTATTAATGAGTTCTGTTATTTTGGGTGTAGATCCCTGTGTCCAGTTTGAGGAATACAGTTTTGGAGTTGGCTGTATTTGATCAACACCGGCGAAAGTTTGACAACTTTAGTTCTTTGGTGCTGGAGTGGAAATCATCCAATGAAACCCTTGCACATTTTACAGATGGAAAGTCCATGCAGATGGTAGCAAAGAATGATGGTAGTGGACAGATCAGGATGCATGGTACCATTTCCTTTTATACACTGAATTGCAGTGAAGTCACTAAGAGTTATACCAGGACTGAATTTAGCCCAGTTTTTCTCTCCCTTCCTCCTAATATAATCTGTCCATGTGTGCATCACTATGAGAGCTGGGATCCTCTTTCTCTAATAATGTGAAATAGTTTATAAAATACAGACATTTATGGAACAGCTTGGGACCAAATATAAGATATTAAATAGATGGCATCAACACTTAAAGTAGAAGGACATAGTGTGGTGGTGTTATGTTGTATATTCCTCATGGCGAGTGTGAACAAATGTCTTTCTGGATATTGAAACATACATGCCATATAGACTAAAAACTCAAGTTATTCCTGGGATTTAACTGTCAATGGAGAAATTGAAATATCATAACAAATCTAGTGCCAACCTCCTCCCCTTCTTAAAATGGAAGTGGTCGTTTATGAACCTGTTTTAAAAATATGGCATTCAACTTGCTTTGTTTTTTCTAGTTAAAAGTAAAATTGGGTCATCCCCCTCCCCTCCCCCCCCCTTTTTTTCAAATCCCATCTTATGTTTAGTAATAACTCTGTTACTGCCATTCATAGGGCATCAGCTGCTAGAAGTACACCAAATGAAAGGGACTGTTCTGATAACAGTCTGCTTTGTGAAGTGTTCAGAGAGAGGAAGCCCAAAAGTGAGTGAAGGGAGGTATTTGGGGCATGTTTTCAAACCCTTTTGAGGTGTGTAAAGTAGAGATTATTTAATAATCTTAACCTTCAACTGATTTCTCTACCAAACTATTGCATGCTACTGAAAATCTGAGCTGAGTAGGCCAAGGTTATTCAGGTAAAAATTATGTTAGTTTCTGAATAGAGAGCTCTTTACTATCTCAAGAGGTAAATCTTATTTGGACTGTAGTGCCAGTTACAAGCACTAATACGAGGCCGCTGCAGTCATCAGTCCCTCCTACATATGTCGCTTGGGCTGGTGTGACTTGAAAGAACACTAATATAACGTCTCTCCGGTTTTGGTTGCATATTTAGGAAGTATCTAACTTACTCAACTCCGCAGCTGTGGAGTTGATACTGGTAAAGGATGTGACCATTGTGCCAGAGAACATCACTATATATAATCATCCAGCTGTAAAGGTAGGAACATTTAGCATGGTTAAATTGTGCCACATCAGTGTTTGATGTATTGTGTAGCCTTTTACTGAGAAGAGGTGCTTTTTTCACTTTGGCGGAAAATATCTCTGTCTAAAGTTCTTGCCCATATAACTGACCATCACTGCAGTAAATGATCAGTTCTTTGACATTTCTTATCTGTTCATTGAAAAAGAAATGCTAGGTTGTGTTACAGAGCAAGTATTGCTTATATGCTCCAGTAGCAGTGCTTCTGGAAAGAAGGTCATTGTCTCAAACCATCCTTCTTAACATTCTTTTGGAAGTGTTCTTCACAGTACACTGCACAGGGCAGGTTCTGTTCTGGCACAGCAAAACTGAAGGGACAGTGCAGTTTTATGTAGAAAAATGACTGTTCATTGCCTTAAAACAGCCTTCTGTGCATTGTCTGCCCCACTTCCAATCCTTGCCCATCTACCAGTAATGAATGAGAAATCAGTGTTGGATTTCCATCAGGCTGCATCACCTTAGATTTAAATTAATGGAATTAATAGTATTTACTGTATTGGGTAACAAAATGAAGTAATCATTGCTCTTGAACTTCCTTTATTGGGTGAGCAGAATCAGCTGGGAGGACCATGACCTTGTATACTAGAGCTTGCTCTTTGTAATGTCAACATCACTGTGCATCTGCTAAGTGTTGAAGTCTTTACTTATTTATTTATTCGTTCAATTCATCCTTGATAAAGTCTTCCTTGGAGGCTGAATTTTGAACCCCAAAGTCAGTGGTAACTTTCTCTTTCATGAGCAAAACTGAAATGGTTGGTAAATGAGGGCGCTGGAATTTTTTTCAATTTTATTTTCCTTCCTAGGAGATGTTTGACCTAGTGGAAGGATCTGGGTACTTTCTAGTCAACAGCAGTGAAGATGATATAGTAAATATTACATACCTGGAAGCAGAAAGTGCCATTGAGGTGAGCATGTTGAGAATGTTTGGCTGTGGAGAAGAGCCTGAGTTCAAATTCTTGCTGTAAGATTCACCTTCCAGGAAAGGAAGAAAAAATCTCCCTTTGTTCCCTTGTCCCTTATTTCTTTGACTTTTGTAGCTGTTTATACATTCCACTACAAAATTCAGGATTTCATTAATGCAAGTAGGTGTGTGAAGTGGGCCAAATATTTATTGAAACAGATATCTATTGAGGTAAAACAAAACATGTTAGATTTAAAGACCTCCTGGTACCAAGTGGTATCAAACGCACTGTATATAGATGTTATTTTGGGTTTTGTTACATGGTTAGGGAAATGACTGACCTTCAAACCCTAGAATTGTGTAGCTTTGAGGGAGGTGGTGAAAACCCCTTACTATTGGGACTTTTACAACCTGACTGGACAGTGTACTGCTGCCTCTGCTGTAGGGAACAATCCTTTGATGAATTCTGAGGGCTGAACCAAGTGGGCCTTTTCTGCCTTTCACTTCCCTAGTGATTTGAGAAATGACTTCCTAGCAGAGTGCAGTACTTAGTCACCTTCACAAGGTAGCTTAGCTTTTTAGTCAGAGAGATGCAAATGACTGCAATTGCCTTATCTGAGCCTCTACGCTTTCCTTGCAGGTCATCCCTTTGCAACCTGGGTCTTTAACCATGGCAGTCTATGATCTCTGCTTGGCTTTCCTAGGACCAGCTACCACCTATCTCCATGTGTCTGACATTTATGAGTTGGAGGTGGACCTGGTCGATAAGGTGAGACAATCCTCGGGAGATTCAAGTGTTGGTAAGAACATAGCCAAGTGGGATGTGATATTTCTTGTAGTTCTTGTTTCTGTTTATGTCACTTTATCTAGACTGTGTGGAACTTTCTTTCCTTTCAGCAGAAAAGTATGTTTGACACATATGCTGTTTTATTCTGACTGTTTGAAATCTTCGCTGCAATTGGTTTTTTCTCACAAAAACAAAAGGGCACTCTTGATGTGGCTTTCCTTTCCCTCAGCCTCTACTAGCAGGATTTCCAGACTGCCAGACTAATGGTTCCCAAGCACAGAGTATGCTGGTAGACTAGGGTGACAGCACGGCCTGTATTCACACTTGTAAAAGTGCTCTCCCTTTATCTAGATTGAGATTGGCAAATCAGTCTTCGTCACTGTGCGAGTGCTGGGTTTTCATCACCATCCCTTCAGGAGCAAATACTTCAAGCACATGAAACTGAAGCTGCAGGCGTCATCTGCTGTTTTTATACTTGCGTGAGTAGTGCGGGCAGGCTGGTGCACTCCCTTTTCCAACAGCAGCTGATACTTTTTGGGTACTGCAAAATAGCTAATAACTACAGAGAAAAATCTGCTTCCAGCACCTCTACCATCCCCAGGCTAGGGGAGTATTGTGATTAGAATGTGTGAGTACATGTCAGGACTACTGAATTCCTGTCCAGTTCTGTCACCATCCCGCTGAATGATCTTAGGAATGTTGTTTAATCTCCCAGCGTCTCCACTTATCCTTCTGTAGAATGGTGATGACATGCGAGTACTTTGTAGGGCAGGGTTCCAGGCTCAGTTCATATGTGTAAAGCTCTTTGAGATCCTTGATTCATACTTACCAGTTGATTAAATGAGTTTATTTCTGACATGGTAGCTCAGCCCATAAATTTACAACTCTTCTGGCTTGAAATAGGTTTCTTTGGAATCCTTGTGTAGTCTCTTGTTTTCCACTGTTTGCCTCACTGTGGAGACAGCCAAAGATATATCAGCGTACATGCAAATATTTTAATGGGCAGTGATTGGAAAGGAAGTTCAGCGTGTTGGATTTTAAATCTTGCCCCAACACAAGCAAGATGGCTTGTTGCACGCTCATTGACTAGTAAAAGAAAGCTGCTATCCCCACCATCATATAGTTTTTATGCAGGATGGGAAAATTAAAATAACTGTAAAGTGCTTTTCCAGGAAAATGGAGGAAGTGGGTGAATACTCTGAAATTCATGTGCTTCAAGCAGTTGCAGTAGGCCAGACAACTTTGGTGGCCATAGCCTGGGACAAGATGGGAAGAAAGTTCACTTCCCCACCTCATAAAGTTGAAGTAAGAGTCTTATTTATATCAGCTGATGTCTGTGTGTCTCATCATTTATCAAATCTTTTCCTTCAAAGTGCTGTGGGGAAAAAGAAGTTCTGCGTAACACTGGCTTGAATACTTTGAATTTTAAATGTTTCTGATAGTCATAAAAATGGGAAGAGTTTTATCACCATTGCCAAGTTGTAATGTCTTATGCTGTAATTTACATATTACACCAAACTCTCCCATGAAATGCCCCTGTAGAACTGATGCTGAGAAGGCAGAGTGTTTTTGTTAGCTGGGAGCATCATAATTTTGATGTAGAGGTCTCAAAGGGATGTGACACAGTCAGCTTTAGAGATGCATCTAGGATGCATTTGTAGGCATTAGCAAATACATCAGTTAATAACTTGTAGCAAACTGATTGGACTCAAAATTTGAGCTCTTTTTTGGTAGGTAAGATTTATGTGACACCTACATGAGAACAAGTACAGACTGGCTCAGTACCTGTTCACTGGAGCATTGCTAAGAATGGGGTATTTTTTGCTTTAAAGTTTGTCTCCATTAAAAATAAATCAGCAGAGTTTTTTCTACCTTTCCCCTTCGCTAGGTCTTTCCTCCATTCAAACTTATCCCAAAGAAAATGACTCTCATTCCACACAACATGATGCAGGTGAGCTTTAAAAGATTTTAGTTATTCCAAAAAATTGAAACTTCTGCATTTCCCTTTGCCCCTTATTTTCTTTTCCACTATATCTGTTTCCAGTAGAAGTTGTGCTTCCTGTAGGTTGGCAAAGAAAAGCACAGATTGGGCATATGCCTTAGTAGTTTGCCTCATTTTCAGAGGCTAGTGCTTCTTTCAGTGGGCAGCTATCCTATTGTTTGTTTAACTATTTCAGGTGATGTCAGAAGGTGGCCCACAGCCACAGTCCATTATTCACTTCTCTATCAACAACGAGACTGTGGCTGTAGTTAACAGGCTTGGCCAGGTAACAGCTAAGACAGTGGGAACGACCATAATACAGGGCACTATTCAGGCAGTCAGTGAAGACACAGGAAGAGTAATTGTTTTCTCACAGGTATGTTTCCATTTTGTTTCATATTTTCTCATTATTTTTTCTATGATTTATTTTTCTTGTATTGACCTCTGCTAAAGAAGTGCATGAGCAGGTGGATTGGTCAGGCTCTCTGGTCGACTTGGCAGAGTTGATCTTGACAATCCTCACTTAGAAAAAACTGCGGCTACCAAGATACCACCCCAGAGGCTTGCCATGTGTAGCAAGAAGTAGAGGTTATTGTAAGGTTGCTGTTGCAGCTTGTTCATTTGTTCCCCATTTAAAATGAAAGATGACACCTTTGCTTGTTGGAAAGAGAAATGCCTGATTCTGCCGTGTCAGATCAGATATACCCATACGTTTTGTTTTTTTGCTTTGTAGCGCCCCTGGTGGGAAATGTGCTGTTGAAACAAAACAGATGTTTAATTCACACCAATCAGTAGGCACCACATAACTCTAGTGCCCCCCGCCCTGAAACTTTTCCTGCTTGGGTAGCAAATAATTTCCTGCAGCCTTCAAGTAAGTACCCATAGTGCCATATTTGCTTATCGTTCTTCAGAGACTGTCTCCTCTACAGTACTACTAAGGCTATGTGCAAATGTATGTTTCTTGTGTAAAGCTTCTGGCTAAGCCCTTAACCAGCCTATAAACTGTTTATTTCAAAAGTGGGACTCCAGTCGTCTTCTTCAGACTGTTCATCTTTTCAGACAGCTGAAGACTTGTTCTTTGCCTTATTTTGCAGGATCAAATAGAATTGGAAGTAGTTCAGCTAAGAGCAGTAAGAATTCATGCGCCTGCCACCAGGCTTATAACAGCCACTGAGGTAGGTATCAGAGCTACATAGTCAACTCCACTGCCATTGTCAAGTAGAGAATGATGTTCACACTGTAACTGGGACTCCAGTCTGCTTGAATGATTCCAGGTATGACCCCAAAGAGGGTTTAGAATCCTGACACTGGGTTTACTAAAATGATGCTGTAAGCAAGAGGATTTCTTGAATTATCCAGACCAGTAATTCCCCACCTTTTTAAAGAAGGTGACACTGATTTGTCAAACAGAGCTCAGATGATCCCTATTTAGCTGTGTGGCTTCAGCTAAGGCTGCTTCAAACCCCATTCTTACAGCTGCAATCCACCCACACACTACAGTGGGTTGCAGCATTGTGCCCATTTGAAAGGGAACTATGAAATCCCAGTGATGTACCTTTAAAGGGAAAAGAGAGGGTCCCAAATACATGTAGTGGCAGCTTTGATTGGGAATCATGTACCTAGTTCACTGGTGAAGGGTGAGTTCTAAGACTGTCTTGGGCTTAGACAGTGGAAAGTCATTCACATATTTTGTGTACATACGTGTAAATGAGAAAAATGAAGAAGAAAGCAATGTGCAGGGAGATGTAGGATGCATACTGAAAAGGTGAATTGCTTAGCTGGGGCTGAATATGTGAGCATGTCCAAATACAACACACTGATTGTAATATTGCACCTTCGACCTGTCCAGGGGGTAGGGACTGAATTTAGATCCTTCGCATTAGAGCATATTTCACTGGCATTAGGCTACTAGAATCATTGTAAGAAGGGGGCACAAGGTTTTATTAAGGAGCTTCAGAGAAATGCCATTGGTACCCAATTTATGATGCATGTATTACAAACCCCAACTATTTCTGGAGGGTTTACACTTACCATGGCAATTAGAAATCAGTAGCCCTTCATGCTTTGTCCACTGTTTATATGGTGTTGGGGTGAGAAGCCCAGAACATAATATAGGAAACCAGAGACAGCCCCAAGTTTCCATGGTCACAATACTCTTTATTTTGCAGATGCCTGTCTATGTGATGGGCATGACTAGCATGCAGACTCCATTTTCCTTTGGCAGTGCCAATGCAGGGCTGATGTTTCATTGGTCAATGAGCAAACGGGATGTTCTGGACCTTCTTCCACAACACTCAGAGGTATGGAGATGTCCACTGAGAATGGGATTAACCCTCCGCTGTATGGCAGGTGGCTAAAAGCCTTAGTGGATCAGGCAGGCTGCTTTCTTAGGTAGATTACAGCAGCTTTGTGGGCCAGGTGATTTGAGGGGTAGCATCCCTGTCACACTGGTTCAGCTAGCTTAATATGCTTGAACACCCAATGACATCCCCTTCACCCTTTAAATCCGCTCTCAAAACAGGCAGCGTTTCATGGAGTCTTCTGCAAAGGCCTTTGAATAATAACCTCTGTGCTGACTTTGCACTACATTTATTAAAGGCAGGTTTGGTATACCGTGTGTATGGGCAGGCTCTAGATTGCATACTGTGGGGGGCAGAGAATGTCATTAGCAGTCTTCTAGCAGAGCCAGTGGGAACTGTACTGAGCTGGATGCTTATCTTAATATATTTATGAAGAGCAGTACCAGGCTTGAGGATTGAGCCTGATTGTTCCTGCAGGCTCGAGTTGCTCATTGCCCCTAGAGGCAATTAGTTCATAGTAGCATCTCCCATCATAAAGAACAAAATCCCAGGAGGAAGGCGACCTCTCAAACCCCATGTATGACAGGTTTATTTCTTTTTTCTGCATTTTCTCAGTGATTGAAATAGACAGTTGATCAAAAAGATGAATAGCCTGTAATAAAACCCCTGTCATTAATCTCTCAGGTTTCCCTAGAGTTACTACCAGAGAATAATTTCGCTATGGTCATTTATACAAAAGTGGCTGGGAGAACTAGTATTAAAGTGACAGTACAATGCCTGAATGTGTCTGCTGGGCAGTTTGAAGGAAACCTAGCTGAACTGTCAGATGAAATACAAATATTGGTAAGTGTCTCCAGCCACTCCAGAGGAGATTGTTACTTTCTTATTTAAATGGACAAGGCAGGATTTCATAGCTGAACCAAGGAAGGAAGAAAACCAAAGCCTGCGGAAGATATCAAGTCATACAGACAGGTAAACCATGAATAGAAGTGAGCTTGGGGCAATGTGCTTAGATAGGTATACCCCCACCCCTTCCAAATCTCCTCTCTTGATCAGGACTGCACAGAGGGATTTGTTGGGTTCCTCTGGCAGCAATCAGCTTGTAGCCACAGCATCAGATGTGTTAATCCTTACTATGGCATGTAAAATATCACCAATAGGAAATTATCTACTCCCCGCATTTTTGTTGCGTCACCTAAGCGCTGGATGATCACCTGCTGTGTGAAGAAGCATTGCCTTCCATTAGTTCTTACCTGCCATTAATTTAATCCAGATATGTTTTTCTGAAATTGCTTTTATGAAATGCTGATTGTTCCTGCAGGTGTTCGATAAATTGCTACTTTTTTCTCCTGAGTGCCCCACAGAACAAATTCTGATGTCAATGAACTCTCAGCTCAAGCTGTTCACAAACAGGTAAACAAGGAATATCCCCGCCAGAACACAGAAAGTACAGAACAGAGAAACAATTTACAAAGTGCACTCTTCTTTCAAGGCATGGAACTATCTGTCTTTGTGGTGTAGTCAGGTTTTCTTACCAGCTTCTCAACCTTTTGGGCATGTTCAATCTCAGATTGCCTCAAAACCTGATTCTTTAAAGCATTTGCAAGTGCTTATTAAGTGAAGTGTATCCCAGTTCAGAAGAGAGTAGGTAATGCTGATGCCTTGCACTGACTGGATGCACAGGAATAACATTTACCAGTTAGCATTAACACCAAATTGAGCTCCGTACGGTTGTTCGGTGTAAGAAATGGCACAGTGAAGGGCTACAGATGCTAATTTCTGAGAGGGTCATTTTTATGGGCCTCGGTTATGCAAACACCTAAAACTGGCATTTTTATTGGGAATATCCGACACTTTTGGAGGTGTGTCCTGTGGCATCACACCCCTGACAAATGTGATATACTAAGGGGACTGACTGATAGGTGCGGCTGGATCTGAGCATCTGTAAAGTTTAATGGAATATATAAAGCTGACCCCTAATCTGCTGGGCAAGCACTTTGTCCTGTTAAAATAATGAGAATGTACATTCAGCTATGTAGAGCTGGAAGGCACCCTACTCTGGGTGAATTGCTGGTTGTAGCTTGCACTGTCTAAGAAACATGCCATTGGCTGTGATTTCTCATATGCTCTCAGCCACTTAGTCTAACAGTGTCTTTCCTCTGTTCTTGGTCTAGGGAGGGGGCTGCCTTTGTGAGCTCTCAGATTCTGAAGTGTAACCCCAACTCTTCTGTCATTGAGGACCATGGTCAGGGTCTCCTGAGAGCGGGAGCTATAACAGGCACTGCTGTGCTAGAAGTAACTTGTATGGAACTCTTTGGAGTCAGTCAGACTGTCATAACAGGAATTCCCAGTATCTGATTTTGCCTCTGTGCTGCAAATATGCAGCACAGAGAACCCTTTCATGTGTGCTGCATGCATTTTGCAGCACCTCAAAAGCCTTTGAGGTGCCACAAAATGCACATGCACACTTGCCTGAACACATCCCAAGGGTGCATCCAGATGAGCGTGGTCGTGCAGTCATGCAGTATATGGCACTGCAAACATGTTTGCAACGCTACATACCACACAGTTCAGTCTTCGCCGCACTGCAT